TACCTCAGCTAGCAAGGTGTGATAGCCTCCCCAGAGCAGCTCAACCAACATGCAACAGGCATGGGAAGTTTGTTGTGGTGGTTCGGCTTGTAGGGAAGGAGGATTGTGAAGCCTCCAGTGGTTGAGATAATCATAGATTCATAGATTCTAGGACTGGAAGGGACCTCGAGAGGTCATCGAGTCCAGTCCCCTGCCCTCATGGCAGGACCAAATACTGTCTAGACCATCCCGGATAGACATTTATCTAACCTACTCTTAAATATCTCCAGAGATGGAGATTCCACAACCTCCCTAGGCAGTTTATTCCAGTGTTTAACCACCCTGACAGTTAGGAACTTTTTCCTAATGTCCAACCTAAACCTCCCTTGCTGCAGTTTAAGCCCATTGCTTCTTGTTCTATCCTTAGAGGCTAAGGTGAACAAGTTTTCTCCCTCCTCCTTATGACACCCTTTTAGATACCTGAAAACTGCTATCATGTCCCCTCTCAGTCTTCTCTTTTCCAAACTAAACAAACCCAATTCTTTCAGTCTTCCTTCATAGGTCATGTTCTCAAGACCTTTAATCATTCTTGTTGCTCTTCTCTGGACCCTCTCTAATTTCGCCACATCTTTCTTGAAATGCGATGCCCAGAACTGGACACAATACTCCAGTTGAGGCCTAACCAGCGCAGAGTAGAGCGGAAGAATGACTTCTCGTGTCTTGCTCACAACACACCTGTTAATACATCCCAGAATCATGTTTGCTTTTTTTGCAACAGCATCACACTGTTGACTCATATTTAGCTTGTGGTCCACTATAACCCCTAGATCCCTTTCTGCCGTACTCCTTCCTAGACAGTCTCTTCCCATTCTGTATGTGTGAAACTGATTGTTCCTTCCTAAGTGGAGCACTTTGCATTTGTCTTTGTTAAACTTCATCCTGTTTACCTCAGACCATTTCTCCAATTTGTCCAGATCATTTTGAATTATGACCCTGTCCTCATCATCTAAACTTTGTCTGAACCGCAACACTTCCGGGCAGGCCTGGAAGCTGAGAGCCCAGCTGCCCTTTATCCCAGACAAAACATCTGAAATGTTGGCAACTCGGAAAAACTGGAGGTGAGATTTTAAAGAGGAAAAAAAAATGCTTCCCCTTTATGCTTTGTTAGCTTTGATATTGGTCACCGTGTCAGGCAGGCATCAGATGTTCTTCCTGTTCACTCTCTCCTGGCAATATCCTTCCCCGCCGAAATTCAGCCTCTGGCTAGCCTGTCATGCAGCTTCTTAAGAGGCGTTATTGTTTCCCAGATGCCTCATACTATTAAGTGCTGCTGAGATTCTGGCACTGCCTTTCTAGTTTAAAGGGACGAATAGAAATGGCTTCTGATGTATTCTCCAATCCCTTCCATTAGCTCCATGCTGAATATTGATTTCCTCAAGAAAATACAAACTCTTTAAATATCTACCCTTGATTTGTAAACCACATGGCAAATCTTTGAGAATAAGCTGTATAACATTTGTTATTCAAGAGAGCAACCAACAGACACAGACCATCAGAACCCAGTACGTGTTTCTGCCTCATGTGAAGCAAATCTCGCACTTTCATATCATATCAGCTAGGCGTCACCTACAGACTGTCTGTCTTCTGTCAGCACCCTCAAAGGAGAAACACATTATTCCCATTCAGATCCATCGTGTACAGAGTATGTAGCATTTTCACTGATGGATACCGACTTGACAGGTAGATGTGTCTTATTAGGAAGCCTTCAAAGCTTCAGTTCCTCATGAAGTCAAGTGAATTAATTTGTAGCATGGTGGTGATGAGAGTCCTCTGGCATCAATCAGTGTATTTCATGCTCATCTTGATATTCTCAGCTGTTGCAGTTGTTGGCCAGGTTGACACTAGATCCTTTAAGTTGCTATACTAGCGGGCCACATATAGGTCAAAATTAGGTGTGGGATTGTTCAGCTTGCTTCTTCTCTTCTTCTTCTGACTATTCAGCTTGCTAGGACTCCCATTTCTACTGCTTGGTGAAATGCACCCAGAGCTCCCAGGTGCCTGTTGAAAAGAGAAAAAAAAATGCCCCTGTAGTTTGAATCGGATTCTCTGGCCCACTCTGTCCTCCGAGGACAGAAGGCCTGTATAGGTCATTGGGAAGGAGGTACTAATGGTGCAGAACAATTTTGGTTCCAACTCGCAGTGCTGCAGAGAATATGTGTGGTTTTTTTTATATTAATTATTTGGATTCATACGTGTCTCCGTGGCTTGTTCTCGTGCAGTAGATAGTCAGAGGTTTAACCTAAACTGGCAGAGCTTTTCCAACAAGGGAGGGAAGAAGAGAGCTGGCACGTAGAAGAATTTCACTGACCACGGAATGTAAAGACAATAGCCCTGCTGGGGCGATCTGGTAACTGTGAAGGAAGTTGTGTAACACATCCTGGTGAGCCCGTGGGAGCAGGATGACTAGAAGCATGGAATAATGGAGCCAAATTTTGCTCTGATTTAAATTACTATAAACCTGGAATAACTCCATTGACCATTTACATCAGTGTAACTGGGATCAGCCCTGAGGAAACAAAGAGAAACTAATGCGAGGGGGTGGAGTGGGGGCGGGAAGAGGCGGAGTAAGGGTGGGGTCTTGGGGGAAAGGGTGGAGTGGGGATGGAGCACCCACCCAGAAAAATGAAAGTCAGCAGCTGTGCATGCTTCATAGCTGTGTGTGTGTGGCTGTGCACAATCTGTACTAATTTTAAATGATAGGAATGTCAATAATGTATTATGGGATATCCCTAGAGATGGGTGAAAATGCACGTGCTCTTTCCAGAGTGGTAGCACACATCTGTACCTACTGGCAGCCAAGGGGTTGTCGGGGATGGTACGACGGGGCCCAGCATTTTAAAAATGAAACCCGCTCCAATATCTGACCCCGATAGAGGGACAAGGAAAAGAAAGCACTGCCGACAGGCTCTAAATAGTTCCATCACTTCCATCTGAATCAAGTTATTGGCCCATTTACCATCCTGCATTCCAGCAGTCTGATGGGTATTTTGGATTTATGCTGTGCTGTGGAGTTCACATTCGGAATTAGCAACAGCAGGGTTTTCACCATTGCGTTTATTTATGCCTAACATTGATGGGAAGGTCCATTTCAGGGAAGGTCCATTTCAGCTTTTGGGAGACCAGTTGGCCTTTGCTTTCATAAATCCAGAAGGGGTAAATATAGTTTGAAAAAGAAAGTTGTGTGATACTGGTTTACAGACTATAAACATAGGCACATTTAGGGGTTTTGTTTGTATCTTTAGCAGTAGCATATACAATTAAATTATCTTGCTTCAACCTCTCATCCATACAGAACATTTTTATGCAGCTCATACCTGGAAAGCGAATAGCACTTTTTTCCCCCTTTTTTTTTTTTTTTTTTTTTTTTTTTTTTTTTTTTTTTTTTTTTT